GAGTCAACCGTTTATTCGAGGACTTGACGAAGTCGTCGTCGTATTTGGGATTCGCGCATGTGTATTTATACCTCAGATGTGTGAGTCATAACTGCGCTAACATCGAGACCTCGGTGTTAGGTTAATCCAAGATAAATATTCGTGCGAATGAGGTGGGGTTGAGGATCCGCGTGGCTGGCCACATGCTGCGAAAGGGGGAAACCTGTGTCGGAGGCTGGAGCTACCGGAGTGTGAATAAACAGATTCACAACAGGATCTTTGCTCAGCAGCAAGATGTCCTTGTAGGGATTCGTGTTGATTCATGTCCAATAACCCAGTCCTCGTAGCTTCCAGCACACGTCCCCCCTTTTCACGACCAGCCCGTCAGTCACGTGAGGCCATTGGTTCATTAACCACTCTGCATGTCCCACCACCACCCATTTTAGTCATGTGACCTCACAGACACCTGTGTTGATTTTTGTACAGGTCCACTGAACCGTAATTGTACACGACAAAACTTGGTCGAGCGAACGGTTGTGCCTTCTCCACTCCGGTCTTCTTTATTTTCGCGGGAGCACAGGGTAACGTATTCAGCCTTGATTGTCGCAGTGGCCTCGGCGTGGTTCAAGACAACGTGCCGGGGTCCTCTACACCCTACAGGAATATTTTATCCCGGTGTAATTTTCCTTGGAAAGCTCAATTAGTACCTAACCAGTCAACCTTGAGGCTACCCAAGTGACCACAAATCCCACCTAGCTTGCTCTGGAAGTGCCTCATGCCCATTGTGCTTGAGACAGCACCACCAATGACTAACAATAACTGATTTACACAGAGTTCGGCGCAAGGTACCTTTAGATAATAAAAAAATCCCATTTATTTGTCCACGCTCTCTAGTAGCGTTGAATGTTGAGGTTCCTTTGATAAACGTTAACCTTACCAACCAGTCCATATTTCAATCTGTTTTTCACAACACTCAGGGTTTATTGATTTTCCATCTGGAAATTTTTATTGAGCATAGTTTCTTGTACTCGTGGGTTGAAATCCCTAACACGGTTCACACTTAAAAGCGGTTCTTCCTTCCTCGTCTTGACCTCGACAAGTCCTCCGAAAATCTGTTTTTGACTGGTAGGCTTTAGAACAAGCCACAAGAGAAACTCCGTGGCACTAACCACCTCGAATCTCTCTCAGACAGTATTTTTTTTTACCGTACTTCCGTGATACTAAACTATCTATCATTGCGTATTCTATTTTCACTTCTTTTACGGTCAAATCAGTTAAGCCAATCCTTCGTTTTCCTACTAGGTGATCGTTAAGTCCTTCTGACCTTCAGAGAAGAGATTTGGTCTGAATAAGTGATGAGTTTAGGTGCCCTTCCAATGTGTTATGAAATGGAGGACTAGATCACCAACATAACGCGATTCGCCAGTTGGGTTGAACCCTAGTTCATCGTTTTGAGTCCATAGAATCCAAGCATAAACTGAGCATGCAAAGTATTCATTTAGTTAACCTTTTAAGTCATGAATTTCACGACACGCTTCACACTGCATCACCTCGCCCCATTTATTTCTTTCCGAAATCCATTAACAGGGCTGAAATGAGCCTAATTAATTTCTAAAAGCAGACGATTTGCTTTCGTTTATGTGTAAATACAAGAAAGGAAAAGGTGTGAACACCATTATGTGTGATTTAGCGGTCACAATAAAAGGAACGTAGAAAAAAAAACTAAATAAGAGCCGGAGTTATGTTAGAGCACATTATGCAAGGAAACAGTGATGAACAGTTCTTGGTCGATTATTATGGAGACATAGGTTGGTGCCGAGGCACTCCTAACAGCCGCAGAAATTGCCCAACAACCGTTTCAGAATGATATCAGTCAAATATATTGTGAAGTTTAGCGTTTAATCTGACTTTGACATTGTAGCATTTCTGATACATTCGTAAATACAAAACAAACTGCCCCTCCAATTATTTAGTTGTAGGAAAAATATCCAAACCAAGACCGCGATGAAAAAGCAACTTGATTTACGTCGATTGTACTTTATTTCCAGTAGTCAATCTGTACAATTTTATAATGAGCGCTCTCTAATTCCAATTCAGTTAGTCAAACTAAATTTGTTCTTTAATAAGACAAGATGTGCATCCAAAGAGTGTAACAAATCGATAATGTCGCGGCGCTTTTGGTTCCTGATCGATATCCACAGAGGAGTATAAAATGAACCGAACCAGCACAGTCTGAATTTAGGATCAGCTTTTGGCCAGCTAATTGGTTGGGCCATTTAAGTTCATTTAAGTATACGAAACTACTGGATTTCTTTACAATCAAGAAAATAGATGAATCATAATACTCTGATAATAGTAGTAGGCTCAAACTATTGTTCCAGATCATATTTGTGTCAATAAAATCAAACTTCTATTATGCTTTATTGACCCCATTGGTGTAATTTTTCCAGATAATTTTACTCTCAGCAGCAGATTCGTTTTATTTTTGAAAGGGACGTTAAACTTCCCAAAGACAAGTAAATTAACACAGTGGTTTGTGACGTCTATTCACTTAACTATGTTCGATTTATAACAACTCTAATCACTTCAATTATTGGTTACACCAACAACTAATCAATCAGTGTTATTTCCTCAACTCATCGATTTCCGATAGTCCAAGTAAATATAGTTGGGCACATCTGGGCATCAACTTGACTTCCGCTTTTGGCTCAACTTGTACACAGGCCTTTGGTTCAGGCAGTAAAGCCTTCCGCACAAGTGCCAGTCTTCTCATGTTTTGGAAAGCCTCGACGTGCTACACAAACGGGGCTCCAACGATCAGCTCGGGGAGCCACAAATGTCCCTTGGATAGATCTGAAACACAACTTGATAGCTAATCATCGACTGAAAACATGCCTTAGAATTTTTCCCAATCAGTATTTAAAAGTTCCGGAGACAAAAAATCGAAAAAAAGGATTTAAATCTAGTTTATCAGAATAATTGTCTACATTTGTCGGGACTGAGGTTAGTTGCAAAAAAGACCCATCTTTTATACCATTTTAAGTCGTAATGATTTGTTCATTAGTTAGTTTTGTCAATGTAACGTTTAAAAGGTATTGCTTAATGTAAAGAAACATGCTGATTTACAAGAGAGATTAAAAATATTATGTGTTGATGGGAGAAAATAGAATTTAAAAAAGAGATCTCATTGTGTCCATGAGTGTTCAGGTGCAAAACTAAGAGGACGTTCAGCGAAAGTTCAAAATTTCGTTCGTTCATTTTATGCTTAGCTGTAGATGAATAAACTGAAAAGATGATTTAAACTTGAGCAAATAAAGGATTCTACTTTTAACTGGGACTTGTTAAAGTGAGACGTCAAATCATTCAATAAGGCGAAAATTCTTCATCTGCAGTACCGGTGGCCTTATTATGACTTGCTGAGATTTCATTGGTTGTTTCATGGCGAGCGGCAGTACCCTACCGGATATGAGTGCTACATACACAGCTTTATGGCAGGCTGCGTAGAGATAAGACCGAGTTAACGAAAACCGTCCATAACATAACTCAGGGAAATCTTTATACGCGCGATAAAATCACGTTGCATAAAATGCATATCTGCCTTTGCCTGGTTATCCAACCAAAGCTTAGTACAATTCTGAAGTCCCTTCCCGATTGTAGAAGACGCCAACAAGCTGGTATCAAGACAGGTTTTCTAAATTGGGAATTGTTTTGACCAATTATTTTAGTTTGTAACACACTTTGCCCATCTTGTAATAAATTGCAAGCAACAAGCGACCCGATAGTCCGACTTCACTCTGCTTGCGGTTTACAATTGTTGTGGGCCCCAGTATGTGGTCTTGAACCACGCCGGGGCCACGGAATTAACTCTGGCCCGATTACGCTTCCCCACTACCCACAATTAGGAAAAAGACCGGAGAGGACGGGACACAACCGTTTACTTCAGAGGTCAAAGACGTTGGTGCCGTTATGTCGTGTGTGGGGTTTGCGCGTGTGTATTTATACCTCGGATGTGTGAGTCATACATGCGCTAACATTGAGACCTAGGTGTGGGGATGATCCAAGATAAATAGTGTGAATGAGGGGGAGGGGTTGAGGATCCGTGCGGCTGAAAAGGGGAACCCAGTGTCGGAGGTGGATTGACCGGATTAAGGAATGTGAATAAACACGATTCGCAACACAACTTTTCTTGGCCACTTGAATCCTCGTAAAGGACTCAGATTAAATGCTGTTCTTCTCTGCGATGTCCAAGTGCTCACCTCAAACAGCCATTAAGAAAACAACGCCTATTTTAAAACACATCGAAGGAGAGTCTGCCCAGTCTCAAATGCATTTTCACAAACTAACAGCTTCCCTATTCCACGAAACCATCTAATTTGCAAGGTCCGTTCTGTCGTGAGAGCTGAATTAAACTCGAGGGAAGTGTGCTTTCTGTAATTACCCACAAGCTTCATTACCTTTACATTCAGAAAAAGTTTCTTGCTCTATCCAAAAGTAGATTGGATGTTTTACCTGATGCACAACAGGAGTCTTTTAATAAGGGCTCAAGAGAAGAGGAAGCAAAACGAAATTTTAGATGCACAGACATTTAAATGCAACAAGGCGGCGTTGCGTCATCTCCTAGTCGTAAACACTCTAATTTGGTTTTGTCATTCTTAACAAATCAAATGAGTGATTAGACACCTGAGCTCTACACATAGTAATGATACATGTGTACTGTCAATTGGGCTGCAGCAAAACAAACTTCAGCAATGTAAGTGCAGCAAAATATCAGTAACTGTAGTCAACGATAAAGTTATGGATCCTACCTTTCCCCAGTGCGACACCGTAAAATGAAAATCAAGTACACTTTATGGAAAACAAAGGAAACCCATTCAACACGAATCAAATGACTTTTTCGATAGCGTCACTATTTTACTAAAGTTGACGACATTATAATTGTCTACGTCCTTGCTAATACATTTCCTACAGATTTTACAATGAAATAAGCGTTGTGAATTATAAATGACACTAGACAAATGTCGCTAAATGTATTTGTGGAATTTCACTTCAGTAAATGACTGTGTTTTGGCTTGTTTGAATGGTAATAGAGACAAGATATCGGCGGCACGCGGAACGAAGCGCGCACAGTAGCCGGCCTGGCATTCGATAGTCCAAGGTCGCTGAAATCTTCTCAATGAGGGTTCGGACACCATCTGCATCGAATCGATGGCCAAAAACTCAATCCCGGACTCACTCGCTGGCCTTCTCGTTTCCGGACAGTACATCAGACGACTTGACGGCCTGAAAGCGGCTGCATGGGTATTCACACGCACACGCGCTTTGTCGCTGTGGCGTTGCTGGTACCGACATAGGCCAAATTTCTCCCCGGATTGACTGCTTCGGCGAAAGCGTGGTGAAGAACGTCGTCGGCGTTGCAGATGTCTATACGAGTAGCTCTGGTGTCTTCGAGCAAGTTCATCAATTTTCAGTACGAGTTTGTCCACTTGCTTTCCCATCTTATTAATGTACAAATTGTTCGCGCCAGAGGAGATGGTTTCCTTTTCCGGTTGTTGGAAAAAAACACTCGTGGGTTTAATCTGCAATTTCACTAACTGATCCATCTCCGGGTCGAAATTATGGCATTCGTGCTTGCTGGAACGCATTTAGTCCATAACTGGTGCAGACTATAGTCATCGACCCTGCTACCCCTAGCCAGGTGGCGCATATACTGAAGGAATCGGGAAGGAGATCTGTCATCTAAATCCAATACAAGAAAGGTGGTGTCGAAGACAGGCCTCGTTCAAGCTGGTCGTTCGGGTGAGAACAGCAGTTTCCAACTTGTCATAGGGGTCTTCAGATGGCATTTTTTTTAATCAGATCGATATCTGTTGGTAGCAGAGCAACGACGTGTGGGTACTTGGAGGACTGAGAGGTAGCCCTCAAGTTCCGAAATTGAGCCTCAATTTATACGAACCAAACTCCATCATTGGAACTGTACGGAGGAAAGCTAACAGTCAACATATTTTCAAAACAGAAGTGTACAGAAGTTGTGTCAGTCAATGTTAACAGAAAAAGGGTGTAGTGAATTCTGTTGATTCACGTCCAACACCCCGACGTGGCGGCCTCACACACCTCCCCTTTCACGGCGTGCCCGTCAGTCACGTGAAGCCGCCTGCTCATTCACCCCTCTGCATGTGCCATCACCACCACCCGCTTTACTCATGTGACCTTTCAGTCGGCTGTATTTTTACTAGTCCACTCAATTGTATCACTCAACACAACACAACTCCGTTGAGCTGTCTTGCAAACGGTCGTGTTTGCCATCTCTAGTCTTACCCCTTCCTTGGGTACTTCGCGTGGTATAGGTCCTCAACAAGGGGGTTGTGCGAATTCCGTTGGAAATCCGCAGTCGCCAGAGTCAACAATATGGATGTTTCGTTTATCTGGGTCACCAAATGTAGCTATTTGTTTGCACTACCTTACAACACTGATAATCAATAATTGACAGGCAATCCGACAGTTTATTTACTTCAGACCTCCCAAATCTTCTTATACCAGAGTGCGTTGGTGAATATTGACCGTCAATGCTAATCGACAATCGATGACATTCGATTAACTCGTGAACACGCTTCACTCACTCTTGTTTGATGTTCTTGGGTTGATTTTTGGTGATTCCTGACGCCCAATACAAACCGGATCAGGAGCACTTACATTAAGCCAAGTTTACGAATTCAATAAAAAAACGTGTGTGGGACTGGGTGATTGTTCCATGCTTCCTGGACAAGGCTGGACTTCATGCGCATTCTGCTTCCTGCAATTACCACAGCATTTGGCCCTGGACTTGTGACATTACCTTCACCTATTATCCGTATTTTCATTGAATGTTGTCCAAATTCCCTCACAATTTGGGCGCTTCCAACAAGCACCGCAAGCAGGAGTTTACTTGGAATTAACGACAGTTAACTGACCAAAATGGCGCCGTCGAATCGCTAGAAGTCGAACAAATGTCATGGCGTGTTATTCATTTAAACAATCTTTCAATTATTACTTTTGCTTTCGAAATATTTTAGGAAATCGATTAGAGCATAACTAGGACATATTGTCACTAAATTTTATCATGATTTGATGAATGGCACTTAGACTTACCTGAATCGTAAATTAGAATTTTGATAATTCACTATTACTACAACTAACAATCACTAACATGCTTCAAATAAGTTACCAATGGTTCTTTGCATGATCTGATTAAATAAACCTCATTTCATATTTCTTAGCCATGTTTGTTGCCTTTATTTACCACAACCCATCAAATCCTTGTTCAATTTGCGGGGTCAGGCGACCATTGTACTTCAAAATTCATTTCCATTGGCTTGTGAATTCACCCATATTAACTTAAAGTGTTGCCATAAATTCGTTCTACGGCTTTGTTCTGTTTCATCCTAGACAAAAAATCGTCAAAACTAAATTGGCATATTTGAACTTACATATGTTAATATTTCAAAATAGTGGAATTCGTTGAATGGTTACTACAGTCATTGTTATGTAATAACATCCACACATTTGGTGATCAAAAGTGCAGATAATTTGTAACTCTTGTTGTAAGTCGTGTTGATTTACACTCACTAATCTGATCACTCCACCCTCTGACACAGGGTTCCCCTTTTCGCAGCATGTCGCCAGCCGCGCGGATCCTCAACTCCTCCCCCATTAGCGCGAAAATTTATCCTGGATTAGCCTCGCACCTAGGTCTCGATGTTAGCAACATCTATGACTCACGCACCCGAGGTATAAATACACGCGCGCAAATACCACACACGAGACAACGACACCAACGTGGTTGAGGTCTGAAGTAAACAGTTGTGTCCACGTCCTCTCCGATCTTCTTTTACCTCATCGTGGGTATGAGAGTTAATTCAGTGGCCCCGGCGTGGCTCAAGACTACATGCTGGGGCCCACATCACTCTTAGGAAGCAGCTCCTCCCAGAAACTGTCCAGTTAATCTTAAATTGTACGAGGGACTGCCACCGGAGCACAACGTATCAGGAACTGCTATACTCGAGATTTAAAATATATGTGGATTCCAGCGGAAAAATATTGAAGAGTAAGTAAAATGCAAGGTTTCTGGTAGAGAACATAAAAGTAAACAAGGGAAATTGAGATTGAAAACAATTGTTTCCATATTCCTACCTTTTTGATTAACGGTTTCCCAATTGCATTACCTCAAAGATTTTAGGCACAAAATACACCTGTAGTATTGACGGGCAAATTCCAATGAAATTTCCTTTTGAATAAATCTTTTACAAAAACAGGGAAGTTGAAATGACATTTTGCATCATTCTTAGTTGGTTTTATATCCATTTTGTTGTTGTAATGCTGGTGCTATCTAACGCTAACCACACATCCATTTGCTGAAATTGATTGTGATCATTTTCTATTATTTACACCTTGATTCGCTCGTAGCATGTGAGTTTGTATTAACCAAGAAACCCTACTAGTCTAGTTTTGCCGAACAAATGTGCTTTAGATTTTAATAATTAAACCTTGTTTTTAACTCCATGATTTTCGCCTATATAATCTGTGAGATATTATTCTTAGAGGTGGGATTTGCTTACTATAATGTTTAACACTTTTCCGCAGCTCGAATGGGTAACTGGCGCGTTATTGTTGATACTACAGGCAAGTGTATCATTGGCATCACGCGCTCTTTTGAGGTTTAAGACAGTTTACAATGCATGAACGTATGTTTGAAAATAATCTATACTTTCGTGTGTTTAAAAAACTTTTTTTTTAATTTGAAATCAGATCAAAGCAAAGGGTAAAAACAAACTATTGCATTTTGAAGTGTGCTTATTAACTTAGTCGTTTAAATTAGCAAATAATTTTTGTGAACTAATAATGAGTTAGGTTAATGTTCTAATTTAAATGCCCGCAGAAATGACCTCTGTGAAAACATCCTAATTGGAAAATGCCAAATTAAAATAGTTTCATTATTTTAAATTGATTTTATCGATTTATAATCAATCAGGAGAGTTATTGTTCAACTCACTTACTTGCAAGTTGTGGATTGACAAATTACGCATAAATTCCTATTAAAGAAACTTAAAAAGCAGATAGTAAAAGCGAGAATTTCAGCTCAGGGAATATGATTAAAGCTGTCTGAATTTGAAGTAATTTTTGCCAAATGCACTTCTACACGAAAACTGCCTCCAAACATCCACAGCCTCACGACATTTTCAAATAACACAAACAGGTGTAATGTTTAGATATTTATGTTAAATTATAAATATTGCTGCGAAATGACAAAGCTAGAAGCTGTTTAAGTACTCATAAGAGCTCAAAGTCGCCATTCAAATTTGTGAAGACGAAAAAAGGAGAAATAGTCTCAAAAAAAACATTAATTTACTTATTTCAACGTCGATAACTTTTGAATCCCAAAAACCTAACCCACCACCTACTCTTTTTATTTCGATAATTCATTCGTGCTGGAGAATTGATCAATTACCAAAGTCTATGATCAATTTGTTATTTTTTTTCTTAACAAAGGTGTAATTGTTGTTACACGCTTGCAGATTCAATGTTCAAATCATTAACAAAATTCAAGTAATGTAACCTGAGCTGAGGACCATTTTATTTCTTTTACCAAGAGAACATATTAATTTTTTGATTAATGTTTAAAAAGAGATCAGGGCAAGCAGTGTTCCTTTTTTGACTTCAACCGTTCACCCTATAGACTTATTGTGGTCAGCATTCTAAACTGCTCAGCTATCACATGCTTGGCCACTTTTTATGTTCGGCACTTAGGCCAAAATGTATAGCTTTGCAAAGTTCTAATCTAACAGTGCCGTCTGATAAGGGCATCTTGCGCGTTTAGTAAAGTGCGCTGATGTACCGCTGACTTGGGATTTATGAGTGCAATGCTAACGAGGCGGTCAGTCATTCACCCAGCGTCAGAGGCAGCTTGATGGGTACACGCTCTTGAGGTTTCAGCAGCAATTTAAAACATCTACTTTTGATCCATTAAGTATGCGGTAAATCAGCGGTACGGTTTTACGACAACAAACATCACGGAAATTCCGGTAAACCACAAGCCAAGGAAGCATGCCTGCACCGGATGGGTTTGCCTAGGTAGAACAAGTTAGAGAGCTAGAAATTCACAGAATTGCAGAAGTAATCTGCGAGATGAAATGCACCTCAGTCAAAACCTCACACTACGCTCTTAGGGTTTACAATTATGAGAAAACACGCAGCACACTATCTAATTAAATGAAGTTAACAAGTTATTATCAAAAACCTTAAAAGAATCCACCCATTGCAATGTTAAACATAACGGCCTTTAAAACGTTTGCCGCAAACGTTAACTGACACAGCAAACCACCAGGATCTATCAGTATTTGTTAATCTCGAACGCATGGTAAAATATTCTATACAGATTTCTAAGCAAATTTATTTAGTTTAACAAATAGAGAACAGGGAAGTTAATCTTGGATACATTAGGCATCGTTTTATATGACCTTGTGGCATCTCTCAGGTAACCTATGAATCCCTTCGCGAATGAAAATGGCAGGCTTCGAGGCAACAAAGTCGATGACGACGAATTTACTGTTCGTCCACCAAGGCGTGTTGCGCAGTAAATGGTAGTCGGAAGGTGGGCCAAGTGTAGTGAACATGCCGCGTGTGGCAGACCTTCCCACCACAAGTTCAAGTGGGTCTTCTTCTCGGGTAGAGCCACCAACGTGAGGTGGTCAATCGTTGTCATGGAGCAGCGCTACGACCTGCCTGCTTCCTTGCCTAGTAAACAGCTTCCTCTGATCTCTGGTCTCTTTGCTCAGTTTGTTCAAATGTCGACTGTAACGTTATGCTGTCACCGTCTGATGACCAGCTTCCAGGGCTTTCTAACTAAGTACATCCTTCATCTTTCACCACATACTCAGGAGCACCTTCTTCAAGCGCATGTCCTGTTTCGGCGTCGATGTACTGGTTTGTCTGGGCTCCACCCACGACTCATTTTAACATTTGGGATTCTCGAACAAAGCCTGCCTTGCGTTAACCGTCACAGGAAGTCCATGCACTTCATATTGTCGGTGGACAAGCAGACAAAGGCGTGTCTTCATACCTTGACCTAGGTTGTGTGGCGCAAACGCTTGGAAAAAGCCTTTTAGGTCACTCCTAACAAAACCACAAGCTCCTGCTGCGTTAGCGCTGAGTCTTCCTCCGGTAGAGCATGTAATTCCGCTTCTCCAAACTATTGAGGCTGCTCTCTGGGCACGACTTGTCACCAAGAACGAAATCACCACTTTGGAAAAGTTTGCACAATTAATTGCACGTTTCATAAAACACAACGACGGCACCAAGACAGCTAAAAATAAATTCCCTTGCTGCGGAAGCACTTTCCCCATGTTGGGGTTCGTAGAAGATGCAGTGCCATCGAATGTGCTGCTTATCAGTTGCCATCACAAATTCTGGTATTCTCAGAGGTTATGTAACCCACGCAGATCTGTCGTTCGGTGTTCTGAAACCTTGCATTCGATTCATACAAAACCACAATTAACTTCGAAAATATTTTAAGGTTAAATGCAATTTTAAGCTCAACAAAAAATTCTGCACAAATTAGGTCGCTTCACAGGCACGTACAACTTTACATCTCCAGCTCCATCACCCATGCACCTTTTTTTATTGTCAGTTGGCATAGTTGACACAGCAAGCGGTTTGACACGCATGCCCACATCAGTTGGGAAGCCACTACAACCCCCGACCCCGCCGACTGGAAAAAGCGCCGAACAGTTGGTCTGCGAGAAGTTGCCTCAAGCCTGGACATACGCAAACATGGCGTGCGTAGCCTTGCCCGCTGTTAATGAATATCCCCACGATATAGCCACGAATGTCAACTCACTAATGGACATATTCCAATGCACTAGCATTGGCGCGAGATCGTCAACGTTTTGGTGGCCAGTAACTGAACAACTTCACCAATATGTATAACCAAACACACGTGATTCCTCTAAATTGGTTTGGGAACTGTGCACGTCTGTTCAATAGACCTCGAGGCTATTTTTTGCAATCACCCAAAGCCATGCTGAGAATGGGATTTTGAAATAAGTACAAATTTTTAACACACCATGGTCGCTGGCAGGGTGCACGTCAGTGGACCTGACCAATAAAATTAGGCTTTCTGACCATCGGAAAATACTGAGGCTTTTAACCCTGGTGGTCAAAAAAGAAACCACATGAGCGTCGACAGCCCAGAAACCTCAAAAAATAGCACATTTAAGTAGTTCGAGTATATTTGGAAGTAAGAGGATTATCTTGACAGCAGCAATCAGGTATGAATGACACAGACACAAACACACCCACGTCAAAAACCTCAGACGAAGATTGCACGTAAAATGGGTACCAAGGACAGGGGGGATGGGGTCACTTCCCGTTTATGTACAAGTTGCCCGTGGCGCTGCTGGCCGTAGCAGCAGCAGCAGCAGCAGCGGGTTGAATGGTGGTTCCAGTGCGACCGGCCATTACGACGCGGGGCGACGATACGGTTGGCCGGGTGACCACAGGGTAGCCGGTGGCGGGTGGGTTTCTTAGTTGCTGCTGCTGCTGCTGCACCGGCGGTGTTTTTCGGAGACCACCGCCGCCGCCGCCGAACCGCAGGGCGGACCCACCGTCGGTAGGCAGTCGTCGCTGAGCATAGGGGAACTGATGCGAGGCCGGGGGAGGGGATGTAGGCGACCGCAAGTGACCTTTAGCGCCGATGAAGGGTGAGGAGGCAGTTCCGCCTCCGCCGCCGCCGCTGAAGTGACTTCCAAAGGTCCTGCCACTCCGAACTGGTGGATGATGGGGGTTGCCCTGCATTCCAGGATAGGGATAGTGAAGCTGCATCTGAGGAGGAGGTGGGGGCGGAGAGGGTGCGGCGGCGAGTTTCGCGTCTTCTGCCTCAACCCCTTCTGAGTCCGTTTCCACCTCGAGGAGAGACATCTTGCGGAGGGGTGTGTTGGGTGTCGTGGGGGCGTTGTATTCAGGCGTCCGCCGAACTGGTGGCTCTGGACGTGTTTTAACTGGGGGCGGCGACCTGGCCTTGGCAACCGCCAGCGAACCGTCCGCGGACGATGGCGGAAAGCAACCATTTACCAGAGAGGATCTAAATGATTACAAGGGACTTAACGACTCGGTTAGCACTGTGACGTCTAATCAAGCAATTACATTGTTAACATTACCAATTCATCAACCTAATCTTATTTACTCAACTCATCGATCTCATATCGCCCAGGCATATATTAGTGGGTACATCTGAGTACTTTAAGTGAAAGTACTGTGAGTGGATAGTACATTTGCACCAACCTCATGCAATGGACTTACACGCGATTGCGTGACAGGAGGTGGCTTAAGTGTAAAATACGCCAAATTAATGATCAAATATGTAGAAAGTTTAACAATGGATTCAAGGGGAACACACATGTCCCCTTAGTGATGGGGCTTTAACGGCGTGCAGAAGTGAAAAGCGCCGCCTTGCTGCCGCCGGCATGACGACATCAAACCCCACGCCGGTTGCCGCGCAAAAGGGCAATTTGTAAGGGATACTTTTCTTAAATCAAAGCTACGCCAACCAGGGAAGGGAAAGGCAACGTCACACACACACACACATAGTACTTCGCACTGAAGCCGGATGAGGCATCAGCACGCACAACCTCGCCTGCTGGAACACAGTGACCGAGAGAAGTAAGCAGCTGGTGTTTTATCTCTCTCTTGAAAACAGCCACCAAATGTGCGATTAGTCACCACTGCCATGAGCCCCACTCATTAAATCTGGTCGAAAAGAGCGTACAGCAAGGATTTGATGCACCAAGTGAGCCAGACCCTACCAAGTAATAAACATCCTCAGATGTTCTTCTGAAAAACCTAAATTTTGAGAAAGATCCATTAAATCATCGCTAAATCGTGACATTAATGGGTGTGCGCCATAGGATAATAAAACGCGCTTGTCTAACTGATGCAGCGATGCAAACACATTCAGAGTTTCCGCTCCACCAAGAAGAGCGTAATCGACATTATGGAGGAGAAACACCACGTTCAGAGTAATGACTAATTTGCAGTAAACCGTATTCAAGAGAGAGGCATGACTAGACTTAATTGGTGAATTTATTCCCACCGTGAATGTGAGATTTGGCAGACAACGAGAGGTAAACACACCAACCCAAAACACAGTGAGCTTTGACTGTTTCTCAGCTACGCCACATCGCCTTGATCTTCTTCTCAACTATTCATCATCCCTGTTTTACAACACGCAACCAACCTTTCAGATATCTGAAGGGAAGTACAGGCTGAAATGGCTATTCGAAGCAAAGCAATGACCAGACCCTCGACACCAAAGCTCCACTAATTTAACTACACCAGTCACACAACCTCACCTTAACTCTTAAATCAAATACAATGCAGAATACCTCCACAGCACTGCAAATTCTTTGCGTGTGTACACGATCTGCTCCCCGTTGTCTAAGTCCGAAATCGTTATGACGGTTGTTAAGAATAGGGTGAATTGTAACAGTACAGAGAATGTGAATGATGAAGTAATGCATACTCTGGAAATGCCTACAATCACTCAGTTAGGCCAGCACGCGAGGCAAAGCAAAAAGGACAATGAACGCAGAAGAAGTCGAAAAAGTAAAGGCCGTTCTGGACCATGTTACAGGCGACAGATGTGGCGTCCATTTATTTGGCCAATGTGTGATGCATTATTGCCCCCACTGCATGCGCGCGCAGGGCCTAATGGATCTAAATGATAGCAATTACCAGATTAATAGAAAAAGAAATATATCTCTCGGTAATACTTAGTTTTGATCATTTGACCATACCAGATGGAAACTGCTGACACGGTGGACGCGTAGCCTGCAAAATTAATCAGCTGAAGTCAAAACAGGCGAACAGAGTCAGCTTATGCAAAAAATTCTTAGCTGTTGCCAATGAGCACCTCCTTGAAATTAATTGAAGGAACGAGATAGTGAGACTGTGGCGAGCCCGAGGGGGACATCATCAAGAACAGCAAGCCAGAAAATGCGCAAGGAGTGAGGAGTATTCAATGGAAGAAATACCGTGAGCGGTATTAACGATATCCACTACAATGCACCGTGCGGCATGGACTAGAGATCAAAAACAACAATTCGTGTTTCCCAACGTGGTCGAACGAAACACACAAACTTCAATCAATCACAATATGCCAATTTTACAGGCAGTAAAAATCCCAAACTTCGCGATGCGCGGCAGCAAAGAAGGCACATGTGTGTCTGCCATTCGGATGCTGGGAATATGAGATCTCACTCACCGATTGGTTGGCAATTTAAAAACTTACCCACCACTACAAGGATGCTTTGCCCTATTTGTATTTTGCTTAATGAAATCGTGTCAGTTTGTGGCTGTTCGGAGTTGAGGAATCGGATGCCAAGTGAGAGCCACACGTTTGTGGCTTCATTCAACCGTGAAATTAAGGTTGGAGCATGGGGAAGTGGACGCTAGAGGCGATTCCGTCAAAAACCCAAGTTTCGAGACACTGATGGGTGTGCGCCATACGAAAATAAAACGTGCTTGCCTAGCCGATGTGAAGATGCAAACACATTCGGAGTTCTCGATCAACTATGTGACAGTTCAAAGCAATTGCTTCATGTCAAACCAAGGCACAAAATCAAAAAAAACTATCAATATTAAATATGTGGAACATTTTTTGTCGGGAAAGCCATATCGTTCCCTGTCAACTCAATTACAGAATTGTAAGGCATCAGAGCTGTGAACTACGCGTAATTCGACAAGATGGTGATTGCTGGCCTCATTATAAACCTGTTTCTGCAAGCTGCTGATACATATCAAAGTAAAAGAAAACGTGATGGTAAATTAGAAAAAAAAATAGATAATAAGAAAAGCGTTTTCAGCACGGGCTTGCAAAGAGACCAATCACTGAACCGCCTGAAGGATATATATAGGCTCATTATTGGCTGGCGAGATAGCGACCAATAGGAAAGGCAAAATGCCGAAATCGTCTGGCACGCGTCGTGTGACACTAGAAGGCCAATCAAAACAAAGCTTTCGCAACAGGCCGTCTTATCTCCAAATCGGAGTTGGGATGCCAAAATACAAACAAACCTGTCAATCTGTTTCGATTTAAGGAGGATTGACGTAGGAGAACCTAATCAATATGATAATTTGGTGAAATGATGGCTGCTGAATAGAAGATGGTGAGAGCACATGCCAAAACGATAATTGCTTAAATTAAGAAACGGAAAATGACGAGGAATACGAAAACCATACTACACTACAACAGTGGTGCAAGGACCTGTAGTGCTTCACCAAAGGGGCTTTTTAACTATGCTAAGTGAAATCGATTGAAATCATTTGATTTGGTGTAAGGAAAACTCTTTGTGATTGTTCTAATGATATTAGGTGTATGACTTAATACGCACAGATTTCTTAGCAAATTTATTTAGTATAACAAATAGAGAACAGGGAAGTTAATCTTGGATACATTAGGCATCGTTTTATATGACCTTGTAGCATCTCTCAGGTAACCCACAAATCCCGTCGCGAATGAAAATGGCAGGCTTCGAGGCAACAAAGTCGATGACGACGAATTTACTGTTCGTCCACCAAGGCGTGTTGCG